TGGGATCACTGGGAATCAGGAGTCCCTGGTGCCACCCAGGGCTGTGGCACCCGCGGGGGCACTGCCAGCCTGGTCTGATGGCACCAGCCAGGCCCTGATTCCCATCCCTGCCAGCCCATTCCCGACAGGAATTCCCACTGGGAACGCTCACCTGGGGGATGTTGACGAGCAGGCTGGCGCTGGGCACGTTGGCCACGCGGATCAGGCCCTGCTGGATGATTCTCTGGCCCTGGATCTGCACCGAGGGCACGGAGGCGCGCGGGGCCAGCAGCAGCGGCGGCGGGCCCGTGCTCGAGTGCTGCCGGATCGTGTGGATTTGCTGGGAAAACGTGGAAAAGGGGCTTGGGAATCCAGGGAAACGTGGGACTCAACGAGGTACAGAGGGGAAAAAAAAAAAGCCTGGAGCAACACCTGGAATGTTCTTCCCTTTCCCTCCAAAACCACAGGGTAAGAAATGCTCTGAGCATTCCAGCCCCAGATTCCCAAGTTTCTGAGTGGATTTGTTGGGAAAACACAGAAAATGGGATTGGGAATCTGTGGAAAATTGGGAATATCAACGAGACACAAATGCGAAGAAACCCCAGAATGGCACAAATTAACCCCCAAACTGCCAGAAAATCCTTTTTTTTTTTGAGTGAGAACACCAACCCCCCACTGGAATATTTGGGATATTTGACCCAACCAAGGGCGGTGGGGGGAGAATTCCCAGATTTTTTTTTAATTATTATTTTTTTCCTGGAATGGGAAAAGCTCACCTGGGCCCCTCGGACCAGGGGGGGCATCACGATCTGGGGGCTCTGCTGCGATCCCAGCTTGGCTGAGGCTGCCTGGCCCCCCCGGAGCAGAGGAGGGGGGATCCCCGAGCCGGGAATGCGGCTGGAGGAGGGCTGGAAAATCGGGAAAAATCCGGGAAAAGAGAGAGTCAGCACGGAGTGGGGGCATGAGGGAAAATGGGGGGGAAATGGGGGAAAAAATGGGGAAAAAAATGGGGGAAATGAGGGAAAAATGGGGAGAAAATGGGGGGAAGGAGAGAAAAAAAATGAATAATGTTGAAGAATGTTTAAGCATACAGTCTGGAGGGTAGTAAGAGGATAAGGGTTTGGTTTGCTTTGCAAAAAAAAAAAAAAAAAAAAAAATTAAAAATAGGGAAAAGAGGGAAAAGGGGGAAAAGAGGGGAAAGGGGGGAAAGGGGAAAAAGGGGAAAAGAGGGAAAAGAGGGAAGAGGAAAAGGGGGAAAATAGGGAAAAGAGGAAAAGGGGGGAAAGGGGAGAAAAAGCAGAAAAAGGAAAAAGAGGAAAAAGGGGGGAAAGGGGAAAAAGAGGAAAAAGCTGAAAAAGCGGAAAAAAGNAAAAATGGGGGGAAAATGGGGAAAAAAGTGTTTGGAATGTTGTGAATGAGGAATGGAAACGTTGGGATTTGTGGACAGAAGGAAAACCTTGGGAAAAATCATGGATGAGGGAAAGGAAGGAGAAAAAATGAGGAAAAATTGGCAGAAATGGGGAAAAAAATCTTTGGGAATTGTGGGAAGGGGGACTGGAAATGTTGGGATTTGTGAAGGGAGAAGAAAAGCAGGGAGGAAAAGGGAGGAGGGAAGAAAAAATTGGGGAAAAATCCTGGAAGAGGAATGAGGAGAAAGGAAAAGCTTCAGGAAAAATCATGGAAGAGTAAAAGGAATCCCAGAAAGGAAAAAAAACTGGGAAAAAAATCCTGGAAGAGGGAAAGGAAAAGCAGGGAAAGGGAGGAGGGAAAAAAAAAAAGAAAAAAACACTTTGGAAAAATCCTGGAAGAGGAATGAGGAAAGGAATGAGGAGAGAGGAGTTTGGAAAAGCTGCTGCCCAAGGATTCCTGGGATTCCAATCCTGAAATTGGGATATTCCCAATATTCCTAAAAAAATCCCAATCCTGGAATGTTCCCCCTTCCCAGGCTCTGGAATGCCAGGATTTGGGATGTTGGGAATTTCCATCCCATTCCCACACAATCACTCAGCTCCTCCCTCTGGAATTCCTGGACAATTCCAGAAAAATCCAATCCAGGTTAATTCATCCAAAATTCCATCGGAATTGCTGGGATAAATTTCCTTCCCTGAAATTGCCAGGATTTGGTTGAGGGATTTTTCCAACCCTGAATCCTGGGATTCCCTGAGCAAAAAAATTCCATTTTCACAGAAAAAATTCCATAATTCTCTGAACTCTTCCGGAGAAAATCCTGGGATTTCCTCACAGAAAATCCTGGGATTCCCTGAGCAATTCCTGAGGGAATCCTGGGATTCCCTGACAAAAAATCCACCAGAAATTCCCTCCCAGAGAACCCCATGATTCCTTCAAGGAAATCCCTCAGCAATTCCAGAAAATCCTGGGATTCGCTCAGCAATTCCAGAGAGAATTCCTTGATTCCCTAACAAAACATCCAGGAATTCCCTCATAAAAAAATCCATGAATTCCCTCACAGAGAATCCCGGGATTCCCTCACCAATCCCAGCCAGAATTCCCAAGGAATTCCAAAGGAATCCCTGGGATCACCAAGCCCAGCTGGAAAACACCCCCTGAGAAATCCCATTCCCACTTTTCCCCTTTTATTCTTAAAAAAAAAAAAAAAAAAAAAAAAAAAAGTGGGAGCTGGGCAATCCTGGCAGCTTTTCCCGGGATTTTTTTTCCCGGAATTTTTCTGGGATTTTTCCAGGATTTTTCCCGGGATTTTTCCCGGCTCCCACTGACCTGGAGGGAAGTTTTCCCAGCGGGAAGAGCCTGAGGACCCCGCACCAAGGGCGGGGGCGTGGCCGCAGCGCTTCCAGAGGGAGCCGAGGAAAGCTGGAAAAGGAAAAAAAAGTGGGAAAAGAGCAGAGGGAAGAGGTGAGGAAAAGTGGGAATACAGAGAGAGAGGGGGGAGGAAAATCCGGGATGGGCACGGAAATCCTGGGGGAAAATCCTGGGGGAATCCTCGGGATTGGATTCAGCTCCTCCTGGGTTTGCAGGTGGGAAGGGAATTGGGATTAGAGGGGAAATCCTCGGGAATTTGGGGGAAAATCCTTGGGGATTCACAGGAAAATCCTTGGGAATTTGGCAAATAGTGGGAAAATCCTCAGGAATTTGGGATTCAGTGGGAAAATCCTTGGGAATTAGCAGGAAAATCCTCGAGAAATTGGGAATTAGTGGGAAAATCCTCAGGGACTAGAAGGAAAATCCTTGGGAATTTGGGACCTCAGCATTCCCAGAATTCCAGCAGGAAAAAGAAAAAAAATAAAATTTGAGGAAAATCTTTGGGATGTTCAGAAATTCAGGAGAAATTCCTGCCCTGCTCTGGGCATTCCCAGCTCATTCCTGATTCCAGGAATTCTGGGAATTCCAAGAGTTCTGTTCCCAGCAGGGTTCAGGGATGTTCAGGTTTAATCCTGGAGCCCTTGGAATTCCGGGAAAATGCAGGAAAGGGGAGGAGGTGAAAAATCCTGGGAAAGGGTTAAAAATCCTGTGAAAATGCTTTAAAAATTACCAGAATTGAGTAAAAAAAAAATCCCAGGAAAGGGCTTTAAAAAATCCAGGAAAAGGCTTAAAAATCCCAGGAAAAAAAAGGCTTGAAAAATTCCATGAAAAGGGCTAAAAACTCCCAGGAAAAAATCTAAAAATATCCCCTCAAAAATTTTTAAAAATCTCAGAAAAAAAAACTTAAAACATCCTAGAAAAAAAGAGCAAAAAATCCAGGGAAAAAATCTAAAAACAATTCCTCCCCCCAAATATTTTAAAAGCCCCCAAAAAATTTAAAAATAAAAAAAAAAATCTTAAGAAATCCCAGAAAAAAAAGCTAAAAATCCACGAAAAATTCTAAAAAATATCCCAAAAAAAAATCTAAAATTTTTTTTTTTTTTAAAATCTAAAAAAAAATCCTGAAAAAAATCTTTAAAAATCCCCCCAAAAATCTAAAAAAGCCCCCCAAACCATCTTAAAAAATAAAATAAAATAAAAAAAAAAATTTAAAAAAAAATCTCTGGAAAAGGACAGAGCAGGGAGTTGAGAATCCCGGGATGGAAGGGTTGGAAAATTGGGGATTTGGGGATTTCCCACCTTGGGGGCCGGGCTCTCCTTCTGGCTCTGGCTCTGGCGCAGTTTCTTCAGCAGCACCAGCTTGGCCTCCTCCAGCCTCAGCTCCTCCTGCAGCTGCTTGATCAGGCGCTCCCGCTGCTCCGGGCTCCGCTGGGAACGGGGCAAACACGGGAAAATCACCAGGGAAAACGGGGAAAACACCAGGGAAAACGGGGAAAACACCAGGGAAAACGGGGAAAACACCAGGGAAAACGGGGGAAATCACCAGGGAAAACGGGGGAAACATCAGGAGAAAACGGGGGAAACATCAGGGGAAAACGGGGAAAACATCAGGGGAAAACGGTAAAAATGGGAAAAACATCAGGGGAAAAACAGGGAAAATATGAGGGGAAAAACATAAGGGAAATCCGGGGAAATCCAGAAAAATCCAAGAAAATCCGGGAAAAACACATGGGGAGGAAAGGAGAGAGACAGATCCCAGATTTTCCCATCCAATCCTGGATTTTTCCCATTGGACTCAGCAGGAGAGCCTCAGGTCCAGGACAATGACAATCCCAGATTTTTCCCAACCCAATCCCAGATTTTTCCCAACCCAATCCCGGGTTTTTCCATCCCAGTCTCGGATTTCCCACTGGACTCACCAGGAGCGCCTTGAATCTGGGACAATCCTGGGATTTTCCAACTCAATCCTGGTTGTTTTTTTCTGACCCAATCCCAGGATTTTCCCAGCCCAATCCCGGATTTTTCCCGTGTTTCTCACCAGCAGGGCCTCGGATCCGGGCTCCGGGAGGGGGATCCGGGACAATCCGTTCACGCGGGGGCTCGAGGGCTCGTTGTCCGACAGCACGATCACATCCGGGGAGGGAACGCGGCGATCCCGGTCCCGGTCCCGGTCCCGGTCCCGGCGGGAATCCCTGCGGGACAGGGACACACCGGGATCAGCACAGCCGGGAACGGACTGGGAACGAACCGGGAATGAACCGGGAACGGACCGGGAATGAACCGGGAACGGACCGGGAATGAACCGGGAACGAACCGGGAATGGACCGGGAACGAACCGGGAATGGACCGGGAATGGACCGGGAATGGACTGGGAATGGACCGGGAACGGACCGGGAATGGACCGGGAATGGACCGGGAACGAACCGGGAATGGACCGGGAATGGACCGGGAATGGACTGGGAATGGACCGGGAATGGACCGGGAATGGACCGGGAATGGACCGGGAACGGATCAGGAAAGAACCCGGAATGGACCTGGAATGAACCAGGAATGGATCGGAAACGGACCAGGAATGGACTGGGAAAGAACCCGGAACGGATCGGGAATGAACTGGGAATGGGCTGGGAATCAGCACAGCCCGAGTTCTGCACTTCCAGTGCTTTTCCAGCCCTTTCCCCATCTGTTTTCCAGTTCCTTTTCCTAGCACTTTTCCATCCCCTTCTCTGGCCCTTTTTCCAACCCTTTTTCCAAAGTTTTTTCTCTTTTCCAAGGTTTTCCCAGTCCTTTTCCAAGATTTTTCCAGCCCTTTCCAGCCCCTTTTACAACCCCTTTTCCTAGGCTTTTCCTGCCTTTTTCCCAGCCCCTTTTCCCGATGCTCTTCCATCCCTTTCCCAATCCTTTTCCAGCCACCCAGGGAATTCCAGGGCTGGGAAAAGGGCCCAGGGCAGGAACTTCAGGAAAATTCCAAAGGGTTGGGAATGTCCTCTAGAGGGCACAGCAAGCCAGGGAATCCCCAAATTCAGGGAAACTCCAAATCCAGAGAATCCCCAAATCCAGGGATTTCCCTCTGGAACTGGCACAGCTGGAGCATTCCCAGCTTTTTTCCTGGAGCTGGAAAATTGGGATGGGCTGGGTCGGGATAATGAGCTGGGAACTCATTCCTGACACCCAAACTCCTTTTCCTGCTGGAATTCCAGCAATTCCATCCAAGGAAATTCAGCTGGGATGGGTTTGGATCAGCAGGAATCACCCCTGGAATGGGAGCAGCTTTCCCACCTAAAACATTCCCGGGATTCTCCTCCCAATTTTTCCACAATTCCAAAGGGAAAAACCAGGAATGTGACAGCAGAACTTCCCAAAAACTCAACTCCAGCTCTATCCCAATAAAAGCCGGGATGAGAAGGGATCCAAAGCCTTTCCCACCTCCCGGAATTCCCGGAACTCCATGGAATCCTCACCCTTTGGATGTGCTCATATCCACGGGCTCATCCCCGGCCGGCAGCTCCACTTTGATGGTGGCTTTGACTTCCCCACTTTTCAGCATTCCCGGGATTTTCCCGGCCCCAGGATCCGCTTTGATTTTCATTTCCCCCTCGGAGCTGAGGTCGGATCCCAGAATTCCTTTGTCCATCCTGAGTTTTTTATTTTCCGGCTCCGACTCCCGCTCCAGGGCTCGCTTCTGGCTGCGGGTGCGGCATGAGTCCTCGCTCATGGTGAGGGCCTGGCACGGAGGGGAGGCCACGAAAGGGTTAAACAACACCGGGAATGGCGGGGGGGAATCCTGGGAAAATACCCCCGGAAAAGGGGGAACAAATCCCACGTAAGTTTTGGGGAGCTGTGGGAAAACGGAGGCACCAAAGGGTTAAAATTCCCGGGAAAGGGGAGACAGCAAAGGGTTAAAAAGTGCTGGGAAAGGAGGGGAAAAGATCCCGGGAAAGGGTTAAAAAAATTGGGAATGGCAGGGGAAAAATCCGGGAAAAATATACCAAGAAAGAAGGGGGAATCAGTGGGAAAAAGGAGGAATCCAAAGGGTTAAAAATCCCGGGGACGGGGAGACATCAAAGGGTTAAAAAATGCTGGGAAAGGGGGGGGGGAATCTTGGGAAACGGAGACACGAAGGGGTTAAAATTCCCGGGATTTTGTGACCAAATCCCTTTGGTTCCAGAGGGACAAAGTCCGAGAAAACTTTGGGAAAAGCAACTCAGGAAAGGGTGGGAAAATCCGGGAAAAGGAGGGGGAAAATCCCGGAAAAGAGATGGGAAAAAAATGGGAAAAGGGTTTGGAAAAGGGATGGAAAAGAGATAGAAAAATCCTGGAAAAATTCTGGAAAAGGGAAGGGAAAAGGGAGGGGGAAGGGGCTGGAAAATCCCTGGGAAAGAGATGGAAAAGGGAGGGGAAAAATCCTGGAAAAGGGATGTGAAAAGGGAGGGGAAAGTCCTGAAAATGGGATGGAAAAACTTGGGAAAAAGAACTGGGAAAAAAAAACTGGAAAAGAGATGGAAAAAGCTTGAAAAATCCTTGGAAAAGGGGCTGGAAAAATGATGGAAAAGTCCTGGAAAAGGGATGGAAAAGGAGAGGAAAAATTCTGGAAAAGGGGCTGGGAAATCCCTGGAAAATTCCTGGAAAAGGGAATTCCCATTGTTTTTCCTTTCCCAGGAGAATCCCAGCCCATCCCAGCACCCAGGGCAGGAAAAAAAGAGGGAAAAAATTCCTCAGAAATCCCAGGAAAAACTTGGCAAAGCAGGATTTTAAGAATTTTTCCAGGTGTTATTCCAGGAACGGGGTTGGATTCGGAGGGAAATTCCCAAATAAAATTAAAATTCCAATAAAAGTCCAATGGAAAAAGGAGAAACTTGGGGCTGCAAAATTCCATCTTTTCCCACATCCTGGAATTCCTCTCCCGAGTTTTTCCCACCCAGCCCCAGGAATTTTGGGAGCCAAAAATTCCAAACAACCAAAATTCAGGAAAAGAAAATTCCCAGAGGTGGAAAATTGGGATTCAAACACTTCCAAGGCTCCTCAGGGAATATTTTCCATGGATTTCTGGGTACCCCGGCCTCGGATCATCCCAAAATTCCTGGGAATTCATTTTTCTGGGATTTTTTTTTTTCCCATCAGAACTCAGAAATCCTGGCATTTCCCAGGAAAGTCCACGGGAATTCCCGGCTTTCTTGGATGTGTCAATCCCAGAAAAAAACTCCAAATTTTCTTTGGGAATTCAGCGCCAATCCCACATTTTTCCATCCCAAAATTCGGGATAACAACAGGTGGAAAAGCGGGATCATCCCCTTTGGGGAAAAAACCCCGATCCCGGTTTTTCCGGAATTTTGGGATGGGAATTCCCAGGAAAGGAGAGAGGGGGGGTTGGGGGAGGGGAGGGGAATTCCCGGATCCCGCAGGGATTCCCGGTTCCGGCATTCCAAGGGTTAAGCGCTGCCATTTCCGCGCCATTCCCGAGAAATCTCCGGGAACAAAATGGCAGCGCTTAACCCTTGGAATGCCGGGCCGGGGCTCGGGAATTCCCGCCGGGAATCCCGGGATGCTTCCGCTTTTCCAGCGGGAATTTCTCCAGGAATTTCCCCCCCCCCCCCCCCCCCCGCCCCGATCCCACCGGGATTTTTACCCCGATTTTCCCCACAAATTTCCATAGGAGTCATTCCCGGGATTCCTTTGATTCCCGAGATTCCCACCGGGAATTTATTCACCTTCCCGCCCCTCCCCCATTCCCACCGGAATTTATCCCGATTTTCCAAAAATTCCAGGGAGTCATTTCCACACTGAGAATTCCCTGAAATTCCCCCAAATTCCCGGGATTCCTTTGATTCCCACCGGGATTTATCCTGATTTTCCTGTGAGTGATTCCCGAGCTGGGAATTCCCAGAATTCCCAGAGGGTCCCAAATTCCTTGGGAATTATCCCGAGGCTCCTCCAGCACTGGGAAAAATTTGGGATAAAATCCCTGGAGCAGCTCCAGGAATTCCAGGAATTTTTATCCAAGGGAAAGGAAATTTTTGGGGGGGAATTCCCACAGGAATTTGGGGAAAATTATCCTGAAAATTCCTGATCCTGGAAATTTGGAGCTCCAAAGGCTCTGGAATATCGGGAAAGGAGAATCCCAAAATTCCACTGGAGCTGGAAAAATCCATGGGGGAATTCCTGGAATTTCTGTGGAATTCCAGGTGAATTTTCCCTGGGGAGAGCTGGAATTCTGGGAGGAATTTGTGGCATTTTATGGGAATTCTGGGAATTCTCTGGATCATTGGAAAACTGGATCAAAGCCACGAAAATTCCTTAAAAATTCCGGTTTTCCCGCGGGAATTTTTCCCAAATTATTCCCAGCTGGAATATTCAGGACTTTTTTTTTTTTTTTTTTTTTTTTTTGGATGCAGAGGAGGAAATCCGGGAGCAGAATTCCCAACTTTTCCTGGGATTTTCCAAGCGAATTCTCCCATTATCGATTAATCATTAATTAATAATTAATAATTATTTCTCTATTATTGATTTTCCATTCCAAATTCCTCCTTTAATGAGAAAAAAATTCCAAGCTTTATTTGTTGGGAAGTGACAGAAACATTCCCGGATTAATTTAAATATCCATGGATTCATTTGAATATTCCCGAATAAATTTGAATCTTAATGAGGGATCCCAATTAATTTCCCTATTAATTCCCAATCCTAGCGGCTTTTCCATGGGAATGGGGAAATTCCAAGGTGGGAATTCCTTGGAATTCCCAAAATTCCCACCGAGAATTCCATCCCCAATGGGATAATCCCAGAAAAAAGCAGCAGGAAAATCGGAATTCCCAAAGAATTTTTTTTTCTTTCTCCACGGAAATTCCTGATTTTTTAATGAAGGATTTCTGGGAATTCCGGAGCGGCGGAATCCAGGGATAATCCCGGGAATTTCCCAGAATTCCCTGGGACAGGTGTGACCAGAACAGGTGAGGGGAAAACCTGAACAGGTGAGAGCGGATCAGGACAGGTAAGACCCTGCACAGGTGAGCACTGACACAGGTGAGAACCTACACAAATCAACACCTGGGACAGGTGAGACCCTGCACAGGTGAGCACAGAGGAACACCTGCACAGGTGAGAGGAGAACTGACACAGGTGAGAGCTGACACAGGTGAGGACCTGCAGGGGACAGGGAACACCTGCCCAGGTGAGAGCTGACGCAGGTGACTCCTCCCATGGGGAGCACCTGCACAGGTGAGCAGTGACACAGGTGAGGGGAGAACTGACAGGTGAGATCTGCACAGGTGAGACAGGGACAGGTGAGCCCTGCCCAGGTGGGAGCTCGGCCCCGGCTCCTCACGGAGCTCCAAACCCTTCCCGAATCCCAGACCCCAAATCCCAAAATTCCCAAAAATCCCAAACCCCAAAAATCTCAAATCCCAAAAATCCTCAAATCCCCAAATTCCCAAAATCCTCAAATCCCAAATCCCAAAAATCCCCAACCCCAAAATTCCCCAGTCCCATTCCAGGCACTGCAGGAGATTCCCGGCAGGAATTCCAGGAGTTTGGGATCCTCTGGAATTTTCCAATCCCTTGGAAAATCCGGGAGATTTTTGGGAAAGATCCTCTTGGAGCTCCTCTCCAGCTTTTCCAGGATAAAATTCCCAAATCCCAAATCCCAGGCCAGGAATTCCAGCCCGTGCCGCGGCAGAGATTCCTGATCCCATAGAATTACATGAAATTCCCGGGAATTCCCGGCTCTCACCTGTCAGGGAAGGTCATGGGGTCCCGCCAGGATGAGCCCGAGCCGAGATCTGCGGGGAGAGAGAGAGCTGAGAAATCCTGGAATTCCAACATTCCCAGGAAAAATCCCTGGAATTCCGACATTCCCAAATTCCAACATTCCTGAGGGGAAAATCCCGGATGGATCAACGCAGCCCACCCCCCACCTGGAGCCGGGAAAATCCTGGGATTTGGGAATGCTGGCACTGACTGGAATTTGGGAATCCCAAAACGACGGCACCGCTGTGAAAGTCGGGAATCCTGAGCGGGAATTGGGATAAAAACACAAATTCCAATAAAAAAATGGGATTGTTCCGCCTGTTCCAGCAGAATTCCTGGCAGAATTCCCGGGAAAAAAAAAGGATCCTGCAGGATCTGGAGATTCTCAAGTCTTCCCATGGATCAGGGAGCCTGAGATTCCCAAAAAATTCCTTCCTGGATGAGCCAGGAGCATTCCCAAGATCCCAGGGATGGCTCTTCCCGAATTTTCCCAAGGAATTCCCGAGGTTTGTATCCAAGCAGGATCCAGAGTTTGATCCTTTCCCACATTCCAAAAGTTGGGATTTTCACCTGGATCCAGCCCATGGAATTCCCAGATTTCTCTTCACTCCCAGTTTCCATCCACGGAATTCCCAGATTTCCTTTCATTCCCAGTTTCCATCCATGCAATTCCCAGATTTCCTTTCATTCCCAGTTTCCATCCATGCAATTCCCAGATTTCCTTTCATTCCTGGTTTTTCTGGACCCAGAGCCCTCAGCCATTCCCGGGATTTTCCGGCTGCTCCGGCCCCGTGATCCCAGGAATTCCAGCAGGAATTAACGGAGCTCACCCAGAGCTGTTCGTGGTTAAGAGGATCTGGGAACATCCCAGAAAATCCTTTGGAATTTGGAGCCGCCCCGGCTGCTTTTCCTGGGAAGCTCCGAGGGAGAGCTGGAATTCCTTGGATTTCACTGGGAAATCGTGGAATTCTGGAATTCCAGCTGTGTTAAGGCTCGGGATTCTCAGGAAGGAGCTCCTGGTTGGATCAGGAGTGGGAAAATCCTGGAATAGTTTGGGATCCGTGGGAGAAAATGGAGATGGAGCAGCTAGGAATTCCTGGGAGTGTCCAAAGCCAGGCTGGAAAAACCTGGAATAATGGGAATATCCCTGGCTGATCCCAGAGCTCCTTCCCACCCCAAAGCATCCCAGAATTCCATGAATCCATGTCCGGCCTTGGAATTCCATCAGCAACATCCCTGTTTTGGATCTGGAATTTTGGGATTCTAAACATTCCCAAAACTTCCCAACTTCCAGCATTCCCAACTTCCAGCCCTTTTCCTGCTGATCCCAGGCAGATTCCAGCTCCTCTCCCAAAATCCAAGGCCTCTTCCAGCCCTTTTCCCAAAATCCCAGGCTGATCCCAGGCCAATTCCAACCCCTCTTCCATTGATTCCTGGCAGATCCAGTCCTCTTCCCAAAATCCCAGGTTGATCCCAGCCCTTTTCCCAAAATCCAAGGGCATTTCCAGGTCCCTTCCCATTGATCCATGGCCACGTCCAGCTCCTGTCCCAAAATCCACAGCAGATTCCAGCCCCATTCCTGCTGATCCATGGCCCCTTCCAGCTCCTTTCCTTAAATCCCTGGCAGATCTGGCCCCTTCCCACTGATCCCAGGCAGATTCCTGCTCCTCTCCCAAAATCCCTGACAGATCCAGCCCCTTTCCCCAAATCCCAGGCCGATCCCAGCCCTTTCCCGCTGATCCCAGGCCAATTCCAGGCGCTGCCATCCCGGATTCCCAAAGGCCCCTCCGCTGTCACTTCCTGTGACTCTCCCAGCTCCAGCCCCGCTTCCCGACAGGATGGAGCCATCCCGAAACCCAGAGCTGGAACTGGGAATATTCCGGGATTTGGGATAGCCAGGGGTGAATCCATGAGCTCGGGAATTCCATCCCGGGAATGGGGGAGCATCCCGGACAAGCCAAAGGAAAAATGAGTGGTGGGGTGAGAAAATTGGGGAAAATCACAGAAAATCAGGCAGGAACGCTCGGGAAAAGCCGGGATGTGAATCCCAATCCCATATCCCGGCAGGATCCAATGCCGAGAGAGCCATTCCCGGCTGGAATTCCCGAAATTCCCGGGTTCCGTTTGCCCACTGCGTGCTGTGCGGGGCTGGGCTGGCTGGGATTGTCCCGCATCCCCCGGGATCCCCCCCGGGCAGCACATCCCGGTGCTGATCCCAATCCCAAATCCTGATCCCAATCCCAAATCCTGATCCCAGTCCCGGGCAGCGCATCCCGGTCCTTTTCCCGGTCCTGATCCCAATCCCGACCCTGGGCAGCACATCCCAGTCCCAATCCTGGTCCTGATCCCGGGCAGCACATCCTGGTGTTGATCCCGATCCCGGTGCTGATTCTGGTCCAAATCCTGGTGCCGATCCGGGTGCCCATCCCGATCCCGGGCAGCACATCCTGGTGCTGATCCCAGTCCAAATGCTGGTCCCGATCCCGGGCAGTGCATCCCGGTGCTGATCCCAATTCTGATCCCGGTGCCCATCCCAGTCCCAATCCCGGTGCTCATCCTGATCCCAGTCCCCATCCCGGGCAGCGCATCCCAGCACTGATCCCGGTGCCGATCCCGGTGCCGATCCCGGTGCCCCGGGGCGCAGGAAGGGCGGCCGGGGACTCTTATTGTGACACGGCCCCGGCCCGGCCCGGCCGCACGGCCCGGCCGCGGCCACCGCGGGGCTCCGGCACCGGGGGGCACCGGGGGGGCACCGGGCACGGCGACACCGCCCGGGATCGCGCCTTCGGACGGCGGGGATTGACCTGGGGAGGCTCCGAGCGACCGGGGGGGTGACCAGGGGGTGACCACCGGGTGACCGGGGGGGTCCCCGTGCCCGGGGAGACCGGGGGGCAGCGGCACCGGGGGGGTACCGGAGGTGGGGGACACGGGATGGGGGCGATGGCGGGTTTGGACAGCGGGGACCGGCCTGGAGAGGCTCGGGGTGACCGGGAGGTGACCGGGGGGTGACCGGGGGGTGACCACCGGGTGACCGGGGTGGGTTCGGGGGGGTCACCGTGTCCCCCCCGTGTCCCCGACCCGGAACACCGGGGGTGGGAGAGGGGGGCAGCGGGCACGGAGCGCTCGGGGCGGCGGCGGCGGCGGAGGAGGAAGAGGAGGAGGAGGAGGAGAAGGAGGAGGAAGAGGAGGAAGAGGAAGCAGCCCGGCGGAAAGCCCGCAGCAACTTTCCCAAACAAAAGCCGGCGGCGCCCCGGGGCGCTGGGCGGGCGGCGGAGCTGGGGGTTCCGGGGGGAGGACGAGCCCCGGGATCCCGGGGTACTCCCGGTGCCACCGGCTCGGGGCTCAGGGCGGCCGGAGCCGCGGCCAGCGGGACTTTGCACTTTCCGGGCTCCCCGCACGGCCGGGAAATGCCGCAAGTTCAGCGGCAGCTCTCCCGCACGCTGAGCTCCGCTCTCCCCAAACGCCGGCGGTCCCGTTGCTCCGGTACCGGAGGCAATGAACACCGGCAGAACTTTTACCGGGAGAAGTCGGCGGGCGCTGCTCCACTCGCTCCGCGCCGAGCCCGGCCCGCGGTGCCGGCTGTCCCCGCGCTGTGCCCGCCGCTGTCCCCGCGCTGTCCCCGCCGCCGCCGGCCCGGTGCCGGCGGGGTTTTGCCGGTGGCCGCCGTGGCTCCCCGCCGGTGCCGATAATGCGCTCCTCACACATGGAGGGAGTCGCGGCGCTACCGGCGGAGCATGCGCGGGGCGGGGCGGCCGGGCGGCGGGGCCGGCGGAGGGGACAGCGTGGGGACAGCGGTGAGACAGCAGCGAGACAGCGTGGGGACAGCGGGGGACAATGAGGGGCAGCGAGGTGACCGCACCGGCTCCGCAGCGGGCCCGGGCCCCTCACGGCGCCGCGGCCGCCGCCGCTTCCGGGCGCGGCGCGGGGGGAACCGCGTTTGTGTCGCGGGCCGCCATTGGCCGAAGGGGTCGCGCGGATGATGTGAGGAGGGCGTTGATTGGCCGGAGCAGCGGGCGGGGGGCGCGCGGGCAGCGCCGCGCGGGGAGAGG